ACACACACACACACACACACACACACACACACACACACACACACACACACACACACACAACTATAAAGGAAAAAAAGATCACACACTGCATTGACTCCAGCATCTGCAATCGCACGCGAGCAGTAAATGAATACATGTATTAACTCACGACCTCTTATTTCAGTTTCTTTGAAATAAAATCAAATAAATTATATCTTAAAAAGGGTCCCATTGCCGAAGGCTCATCAGATCCAGGACAACTCGACAACAGAGAATTGTAATGGGGGTGTGACAGCGTGTTAACTTGGTTCCAACTGGTACCAAAATCAGAATGACCCAAATCTGGAAAAAGAGGGCCCTCAGAGAGGACAGGAACACATGCCAAAACCATTTGTTACGTAGCTCCCATCTCTCCCTTTTTTCTTTTTTGTTTTTATCGTTGACAATCTGTGAGACATTAGATAAAGAGCCTGCCTTCCCCTCGTCCTCAAGGGCAAGGGGTGGGGGGTGGGGGGGGGTGAGAGGACGGTGCCAACCTTTTTCTTTTTCCGGTTAACAGCAAAACAGAAGTTTGAGAATGAATAGTACGAACTGGAAAAACAGACGGATATGGGGATCACGACAACATCCCTGACTTAACAAATGTTTTTGAAATTCAAATGGATGGTGCAGAGTGTACAGCATTAGCAAAGAGAACTTACTTTCCACTCCTCGTTGATGACCTTCCGTGCAAATTTAGAGCTTTCATATGCGAGCTTTGATGCTGCCGCTGCAACTCGCAGGTTGATAGCAGCACTTGGCTGCTGTCGCGGGAAGAAAGCCAGACCACCTGTGTCGTAGGTGAACTTAGGGTGCAACCAGGTCTCACTGGAGAATACATAATGGGCCCTGTCCAATCTGTCTTTCCCCTGGGTCCACTCTGCTGCTTGCTGTGCCGCGCCTCGAAGACCAATCTTAAGGCTACTCCATGACAAGATCTTAATCACCAGATTCACAAGTAGATCTGCATAATTGTAATACCAAAACCGCCATTCAGTCGAAGTACCCAAAGCTCTTCATGCCCAGCAGTCAAGTGCAGGCTTAATATTAACGGTTCAGTCCTAAGATATATAAATATTAACGGTTCAGTCCTAAGATAGATAAAAAATGCATGTGTTTACTAATCTTAGCACTTTACATTGTCATACCCGGGTTGGTCGGCGTGCAAAACCTCCCTGTAAAAGGGCCTTTACCCGATATAGGCCTCAGGCCTTGCAAAAGTAAAGCAGCTCGAGCCTTGTAAAAGTAAAGCATTGTGAAAAGGTATCTTGCCAGGGCTCAGAAACGTGAAGGCAGGTCAAAGGTCAAGTTCTCTATCAACAGGTACACCTAAATCTAAGGCAAAGGGCATTATCAAAAGACTTACCTGTTCACCAGATGTGTATGTCATGTCTGTTCGGGTAAGAGTGTGTCTGTACGTGCAGGCAGTGTACCTGTTCGTGCAAAGGAAAGTGTATGTTCAAGTGGTAAATGTGTCTGTTCGTTTAGAGTT